TTCATGATAAGTTCCAATGCATGCGAGGAGCCCAAAGCCATAGGCAGATCCAGGACGGCCTCTTGAGGGGGTGGGAGCAACGAGTGGGGCTTCTGTCGGCAACGAGCGGGGGAGGGGGGGAGTGGAGTTTTTGGTAGCGACAACGAGGAGAGGGAAGTGGGTCTCCGATGGGGCGATGACCGGGGGGCGCGGGCTTAATTTTTGTTAAGAAGACAAACAAAAACACAACTTACTGATAAAATCAGAGATCGCAGACAATTTCTACCGAAACTGTACGGGGTACGATTGAGTCCCAGTTCACGATTCGTTAGCAGTCGTGTTATTGATGGGTGGGGTGCAACTTTTCGAGTGTTATTCGGCTCATCGATCTCCAAATTTGCCATCAATCGTTTGCCGAGCTACAAAAAAAAGAGTACCTCTGCCCGCACAGTTGAAAAAACCCGTGTTTCAAACGCGACAAAACGGTTGCCATTGCCTCTCAGGTACCGCTGGCCTTTTTTCCAACGTTGCTTTGACTGAGGCTATAACAGCTGGCCTCATTTTAATATTAAAGATTGAAAAGAAGATATCAAGGAAAGAAGAAAACAATGAAAAGGAGGAAAAGGACAATAAAATGGGAAAGGTGTCTATAGAAATATCTGTAATAGGTAAGAAATGCTTCGGTCCATTAAGTCGTATACATTTCTTACCGCTACCACAACTGGACCTCGTCAGTACGACGATTGTGGTAACAAAATAATTTAGTAATGTGTATAAATTAATTAAGATGAAAAATGTAAATCAGAAGAAATAAAAAGATGCAATAGTTTCGATGGTTTCATTTTCCCGAAATGAAATATTGGATGCAAAAGCAGTGTGCAAAAAAAAGATGTATGAAAAAAAATGAACTAAAAATTGATGAAAAAACAACACATACTCAATACACTCCTCTATTAACAAAGCAGTATTGCAAGATTTGAAAAAAAAAATCAAAATTTAAGTGACAGAGTGTAAGGAGGGAATTAAAAGTAAAAAATAATGAAATAAAAGTAATGAAAGCTAATCGACAATTGAAAGTAATGAATTAAAAATTCATATTCACCCTCCTCAAGGAGAAGCGGAAACATTAAGGAAGTAGCTCGAATGATTTTATACCCAATAAATACCATCATTAATATTTCTATTGAAAAAAAAGGATACAAATTTTTTAACATAGTTTTTTCAGCTCCCTAGCTTACGTGGTTCCTGAGATAAGAAGTAGAAAGAGAGAAAATTAATTTGCAGAAACAAGAAAAAACCTGAAGATCAAGAAGCATATTTTTTATAAAGTGGTAAAATTTAAAAAAAAAAAATGATCCTAAGAATACCAAAACCATCTGGATAATCGATTTGGGGATCTCATCTTAGTTATGTTAACGGGATAATTCTACATACCGGGCACAGTTACATTTATCCTTTAAATCTTGGGCTACCTAATTCTGAAATACCATTTCGAGGCAGGCCGTGAAAAGCTTGGGCGATATGTTTTACCGCATCTCAAAAAACTGGTAGTAAGAAAAACCAAAGATCATACGGAAACTAGTTTTCAAAAAAAAAACCAAGAAATAGGGGAAATAATAAAGTGAATAAATCAGGTCGATTTTTTGCCAGTGACTTATGATAGCTCAAAAATCGAATAATTTACGGGTTTTATAGAGGAGGAACAATGGAACAACAGAGGTTACCTCCAAAAATCCAGCATTGTCCTCCGAAATACGTCGGCCATTGCGATCAACAGCTACCGGTCCAGCCGGAAAACGCTGATCCGTTGGAATCCGCCGAAACATTCGTCAATTATGGCTGATCCAGAACCCCTGTCCACCAGCCTGAAATTGATAAAACACTGAGCAGGGATTATGAGTGAATGTGAAAATAACGCCAAACGAGGGAAATAATGAGGTTAGATGGGCACTACCCACATTTTCGCAATTTGAAGAGTTACGTGTAAAATTCTGCATGAGCTCTTCGTCCCGGGAAATTTGTGAATACAGAATACGGGGATTACGATA